AGGTTGGCACAATTCGACAATGTATTATTCATAATAAATTAGACCCGTTATTCATGCATTCATATTCGAATATTTATTTATTTATCCAATTATTCGTTCTGGCTGAAAAAAACCGAAAATGTCCTTGTTTCTCAGTCATTAATAATTAATATCAATTCTTCACTGATTTTCACAAAACAAATGTAAATACATGAAATAAGAAACTTTAGTTTATTTTACATATTTTAACTTTAGTATTTTCCTTTATTTTCTGCCTTTGCTGGTAAAAAAAAACTTTATTTTTATAATACTTTTAAAAATTATGAAATTTTTAGAAAAAAGCACTTTAAAAAGAGTTTCTGTACTTTATTTTGCGAATATAATATAATGCTTAATCTATGTGCGAAAAATATTAATACAACTTATTTTTCTTAATTTTCTTAGTCTACTTTAAAATAATATATTTTTACTAAGCAAAATAAAAAACATACTAAAATAGACTTATTTCTCTTAATATTGTTGACAATTTCCGGTTTTAGTTGTTACTAAATATATAATGAAAGTATACAAATGCCTGATATACGAATATGTATACATGAGTTAATGTATTTGTAATCAGCGAATATCAGTGAATATAATGCGTGATTAAAAACGTGGACATGTATGACAATACTTCAATCAAGCTGTCTATACATCATTGGATTTTGCATCGTCAATTGCTTAATATTTTAACTACGACATGTAATAGACCTCTTCCCGAATTATCGATGAACAAAACAGAATTACACTGCAATTACGATGCATGCGCGTCGTCCCAATTTATTATTCATTTTATATTAATCGACATAAAATAACGACGCAAATTATAAGTGAAAAGCTCTCATCAATAATCTACTAAAAAGTTTCATTACGTTTATCTCCGAGTGAACAGTAAAATATATATTGCCCTCGCAACATTTTGCATCCGCGAATAACGACATGTGGATATCGAAGAGACGTTCTTATACGATCGCACGTTTATTCGCGAAGAATGCGATATTCTACTTATGCCGATCGCCTAGTCAATCAATCTTAGCATTGCCACTTGAGCGGCCGATGAATAATACGTAGGTGTATAACGGGGAGAGACTCAATTTCTCCATATTGGGTCACGTGCATGCAACACTCCGATCTCTCCAGCCATGGCGCTTCCACGGCCGAGGATCCGTGGCATGTCGTTCTTGCTAAACAGCGCGAAAATTTTTCTATCCGCATGCGAGCCGAGTGCGCCGACGGCGAAAGAAGCGACCACAAAGCTCCGCAAAGCGACCCGATTATGCCGAGCCAAAGGAAAATGTCGACACGACAGTTATAATGAATGACAGCGAGCGTAATTCAACGATTTATCCATTAACCTCGTTTAATATCGGGACGCGTAATCGTAAATCGTTTTAAAACGGGGAGTTCAGGGCAAAAATAAATAATAAATAATAAATCTGTAAGGTCCGCTTTAAATTTGAGATATTTAAATATAATATTTAAAGTTGCATAAATTGGCTTTATTTCTGCTCAATAAATTCGCACAGATATAAAGCTCACAATATGAAAAAAATATTTATTTCAGTTTAATGTTTTATTTGCATTTAAAATCCCGGATTGATTCGTAATAAAGCTACCGACAATCAAAGTGTTTGGCTTGCAAAATTACATTTTTTTTTTCTGGAAGTTTACGCCACGGAATCTAGGCCAGTCCTCGCGTTTCCGGTCGATTACGGGTAAACTTTCGCAGCCATTTGTCAGCGTTAACGTTACGTCGCGGAGGCACCGCGATGTCGCGGTCGAAATCAGAAGTCTCGCAGAAAAGTTACGGCACAACGCGTTACTGATTTTTACGCGTGTGATCATTCACCGATGCGTGTGAGAAGAGCGTTAGTCAAACGGGAATACGCAAACCGCAATGGATGACTTCGCGTGTCCGTCTGCCCGTCATAACTCTTGTCCTAGAATCACAGGGATCTAAAACTAGTAACCACGTCTTTTATTACTTCCATTAAATATTTTTGATTGAATTTTATATTTTCTGTTTTATTTTTTAAATTAAACACCAGCATTTCATATCTCTCTTTTCTTTTTTCAGAAAATTTTGTCCTTTATAACGCTATGTGTCTATATCTTTTGCTAATTTCCACGATTGTATGCACTTGTCCCAAATCTATCCTGTCTACGGGCCAATGTTATATTTCAAGTGTGGAACACGTGATGACATAAAGAAGTCATAAAGTAAATATTGAACCGATCGGAGCCAAAACTAGTAACTTTAATTTATCGACATACGTGATTTCTCGCGATCAAATCAAATCGCTCGCGGAACGACAAACGAAAAAAAAATACGCAAAATGTATTCTATGTATATAGGTATATGAAATTTTACTATTTGCATTTACCTTCCATTGCAAAACATTACAACTCCGTTCCAAATATCGTCAATTTAGGAAGTGATTCAGTTTAGCTGTATCTTCATTAGCAATATCGCAAATATCGTAATAAATTCGGAATGTATCACGAGTTTGAAATATGCGTAAGATGAAACAGGATAATTGATATCGTCGGATAATAGGAAACAATATAATGATTCGTCAATAACTGCAATTTCTACCAATTACGAAATCATAAAATGAATATTCATGTAATAGCCATCGGTAAAATTGTTAGAAATTACAATTATTAATCTTATCACTAAAAGTCATCGCATTAGCCTAATTTACATTGTCCAAGAGCCTAAATTGTGTCGAGAGCCTAAATTCGAGCCTGCTGCAGTGATTCTGACATAATATTGACACCGTTAAAATAGACCTTCCTAAATCCAAATGTAATATGAGAGTAAAGTGGAGTTTGTGCTGGAAACACGAGCGGGGTAAGTAAGTTTTCCATTGTGTTCTCTCACCCGACCCTTTTTCTTCCGGTGGCGTATACCTTACGAAGTTCAGCGTGAAACTGTTCGTCGAAGATTCGTCAGAGGATTTATCGAACGTCCGATAGACGTGTGGATAGAGATGGATAAAGATTGCAGGCTGTGTGTGCACCGACCTACAACTGGACAGTATGGGGATGTTTGAGATACGAGGAAGTCCCGCGTCTTCTAGCTTTTAAAAGTCCGCCACTGTTATTGTTGGTCCTGTGCCAACGTAAGTAATGGCCCAGCACGGACGCAAATATATCCTTCCGCGCTTTTTCTTATTTGCCTTTGAAGTGCAGAGATCGGTTCGCGGACCGTCTGCATGCCTGGTTAAAAGAATTATGACTCGATAGCGAAGTGTGTCTATTTCGCGTAGCGTGGGTCACCTACGTAGATGCGATTTGTCTGTGCAGTCGTCTACATCAAAGAGTTACCTAAATCACTTCCTCATAAGCAAAACAAAACGTTCGTCCAATTAAGCACGACATTTCCTAATTGCTGTTCGGCATTAAACTAAATTATATATTCACCAATGCGAGTTGGTGTGTATCAATTAAATATACATAGAGAAGATTATACATTCTTATATAATATATGACTTTATCATTTAATAAAATAAAATAATTTGAGAGAAGTTCAAAAATGAGATTTCAACTATTAAATATTAAGCACTAATATAAATGTTATATTAAATAACTTATTGTAGTCTTTTAAAAAATAAATAAATTTATTTTTCTCTTTATCTAATTGTAATCCTTAATTTTTATCCTTTTTTATTCTTTTTAAATTAAATTGTATTTTGTTTCTTTCCTTAAATATTATAGAACTATTATAATATAGAAACGTGTGTGTATATGAATGCGCGACGTGTAAGTGTACGTAAGTATATGCGCGCTGTATTAAGCTCGGATCCGTGGGTTCGCTAAGCCCAAATCATTGTACAGATCAGTCATCCCTACGGGAAAATGATTTATCGTGATTGTCATTAGGTAGTGGTGCCATCTCGTGCTGCTTGGGATTAATATAATTCACATAGTCATCATGCAATGCATGTAGTCTTCTTGATTTTTACCGCCATCTATAGAGATGTTGTCAATATTATCATATTATCATGGAAAACAATAATGTTTATCAGATAATAAACATATTAAAAATCTTATAAATTTATTTTATATAATTACAAAAATATATATATATAATCTCATAATAATATAATTTATTTATAGACATCTAATTAGCGTTTTTGATTTTTTAAAACAAATCAAATTAGCAAGCTGACTTAATTATTTGTCATTTTTGACAAAGACATATTGCATCCAAAATCTTTTAAATTTCATAATCAATTTAAATGATCCCTCTGCAATATAATTACAATACAAATTAATAGTTAATAATTAATCATTTTAATTTATGTTACAATACACTTGCAACATAAAATAAAGTTGTTAATTATAAAAAAAACAATCGTATTATTTAATATACATGTATGTTTATTTATATATAATAAATAAAAAATATAATAGATAATATTAATAAAAAGTATCATATCTCAAAATAGCAAGCAACGTTTTTAATATATTTCAGTCATATAATGGTTACGCAAAAAAAAAAAAATACAATGAGAAGATAAGTGATGTAAGAGAGATTAAATATAGGATTCTTCATAGCAACTTGCTATGTTAACAAGCTTATATGTGAATTAAGAGAGAGGTTCTCAAGTAAAATAAAAAAAATTATTGATATATCAAATTTTTAATTAATCGTAACGTAATCGAAGTAAAAGAAGATAAATCTTATTTATTCAATATCTTATATTATAATATTTTATATTTGTATTAAAACACAAAAAAATAAAATTAATCAAGTATATAATGTTATACAATTTTATAATGCAGAAAATAATTTATCAAAAATTATCTTCTTTCGTATAACCAATTTTATTATTTTTTAAGAAGTTCACTACTAAGAATTTATAACATTTCCTGGTTTCCTGGTTTCCATTTTAAATGGAATATTTTGAGAGCTTCTGCTGTACAAGGTTACGTTCAAAACCTTACAAATTCGTATAATGTATATCGCATCCGTTACCTTATAAAGCTTCCGGAATTCAATATCAGGGTCTGTACTTGAGGCACATAATTCAGTAAAATCAGTCACAAGAAATGTTACACTGTGATACGTTTGAAAAAAAATTAAATATTGTGAATTAATTTATTCCACAAACATAAATTTCATTTTTCAATTTTCTCCGCTCATGTGTAATATAACTGTGTTTATAATTACGAATCTACGAATTACGAGGAAATGATCATATCGCGAATATTTATTTAAAAGCAAGATAATGGTCATGATCTAAATGGCGATCGTTTATTAACTTTAATTATAGTGGCTGTGATTAAAATCGATGAAAGACTTTGTAATTACTTTACAACGCCAGCGAGTTATGCAATAGAAAGCTGCATTTGTTCAGTTAATATTATCGTTATTGGTGTCAATATAGGTATACAGTTTACTGTAATGAGAAATTTCAGGATAGCGTTCGCGTTTTTAATTTTAAAAATTCCAGAACAATCGATTCGATCCGTATCGATCTGTTTACCTGAAACACACATGGGAATTTCACGAACCTGGTACGTAATCCTCGTGATCGCCGCGTGTACCTGTGGCGCACGTACGGAATGCGGCGAAACCGTGCAAATTTCATTTCTAACAAGCGTGCACGATGATCCAGCGTGTACAAAGCTGTCTACGACGGGCGTTACGCTCTATGAGGCCGCCAAGCTACTCGCGGAGAATTACAACAACAAGACCGACGGATTCGAAATCGGTAAATCAAGTTATATAAAGTAGAATAATTGATTTCCATCGAGCACTCCAAATATTTTAACGCTCGGATGTCTAATAATTGAATATCCGATTAAACTGATAATAATTCCAAAACAAAACAGAATGCAGTTCATCAAAAAATTCAATTGCGAAACAAATATTTGCAGGGATTACCGTTTTGGATACATGCGGAAGTATAACCGGTGCTCTGAAAGCGGTGATGAAGGCTTTAGTATGGGCAGATATCAGCTGTTTGTATCCGCCTCATTACCTAGGTAGGATCAATAATTGTCTCAATTTCCGCTTTATACGAATATTTCATACTAATTTCCAAAAGCCAATACATCAATTGACAAGATTGAACTTCTACAAGCTAGAATACAAAGAGAATGAAAATACAATACCTATACATTTATAACTACAAATATATATAAGGTTTATATTTTCCACGTTACATAAGTAAGCCTGTCGATTGATTTATACGTCTCGTAATTATGTAGGAATTATCGGACCAGATACCGTGACCAACGCCGAGGCGATACACAAAGTGACTTCGATATTGAAAGTGCCGCACATTGTGAAGAAACCGTCGATTTCTCCGTATTTGCACTCTTTAACGGAGGAATCAAACTCCTATTTAGTAGAGGTGTTTGTCACTAATTAATTGATTAATAAACTTGCAAATAAAGTCGATATTCTCCAGTTTAATATTTATCGAGAGAGCCTTGAAACTTTATACTCCATAAACCGAAGATGGGGATCACTACTTCAATTAAAGTAGCTAACTACGATGCTGAGCTCATCGTAATGTTTGCATAATGCAATAATAATGCAGTTCGTTATGCTTACGCAAGCATTTGAAAATGTTAGAACAATATATTGAAATACGCCTGATGGTTTACGCAAATATATTAATTATGCTATTACGTTTAGTTACGGTGCACATACTTTCTCCTGGATTTCACTTTTGCTCTGTGTTCAATATTTAAATTTTATAATTTGTTTCAAAAGGTGTTGAATAAAATATGCAAATAAAAATATGCACATAACTTTTTAAATATAATACAATGCAAAATTTTTCTTTATATTCTTAATAGCATAAATTGTGTTATTAGACATAAAAAATTATATAGTATATATAAAATTATATACAATATATAGTCGAACCATATTAGTTTGGTCGGACAAATAAGATATGCTAAATAGAGAAAACAATCCCGGCATTCTAGAAATAGTTCATGGTGCTTTTATTATCAACACAGAATACGCGCACACATTCCTACTTTAGATATATATCAGTGACTCACTACATATTTATTTCGTTACTATTAGAATGCTGATACTTTAAAAATCTGTTGCTTTCTCTGTTAATAATATACTTTATATAAATATTAGTTACACATTATGCTTGCCAATAAATAGAGGTAAAATTAAGTATTCAATTCTACACGCTATTTGACATTAACATTAAATGATTGATTATTATTCTCTTTTGTAGGGAATCTTAAAAATGATAGAAATCTTAAAGTGGAAATCCTTCACACTAGTAACTAACGTTGACGATGAAAACGACGATGACGTACAAAATATTGCAAAGAAGCTAACGATAAATGCTATAGCAAACAATTTGTGTGTTATAATTCACGATAATGATGAAGAAGGTATAAAATTGCGTTTTTATTTTCCTTGTATAAGAAGTCTTACTTTTCTAGCACATATTTTTTAATAACGTGAAATTAATCAAAAGCAAGAGTTTCAATAACAAAATGTCAAGTCTGTAATAATTATTTTTATCTTTCAAAATGTCGCGAGATTAAAATGTCGTATAATATTTACATGTCTAGATATGACAGAATATTGTCTCAATAATGCAATTATAAAAATTTTTTTTAATCGATCTTTTGATATTTCGCATTTAATAATTATTAAATTTCAGCAGAGAGATAATACAATTTTATTAAATAGATCTTTTTTTTAAAAGCTTATGGCACTATATAGTCTATATAGATTTTTTTTTTAATCATCAATACATTATATTTTTTAATAATTTTTAAAATGTCTAGTATTAAATGTATTTCAGAAGCTAAGCATTAGCAAAGTTTTATTACAGTAAAGTCTACTTAAAATTATTTAAAAAACAAATTTTTGTTTCCGATTTATCTTTGCATCGATATATTTCTTTTACTTTCTTTGAATGTAAAATCTAATAATAATTTAGATAATTTTCGTACATTTTAATACATACTTTATGAATTTGGTTATTACAGATTACACGTCACATATTGTACATATTGGAAAACCAGAAGAAAAATTTTTCGACGAGCCAAAAAATGCAACTATACTAATTGTCAGCGAGGGAAATTTAAAAGATTATTTGAATCGTATAAATTCAACTGACATAATATTGCTGTTAGAAGATTCTAGGTGACTATAAACAGCAAAATTTTCGCAAAATTTATTTGTCAATTTCTGTTATTCGTTACGATTTTATTATTAATCAAACTGTTTGAAGAAATTACGTACTCGATAATAATAAATTATTAATCACAACTACATAGAAACAAAGTAATCGAGCATGAAAGATCATCCTTTGTAAATTATAACAGATCTTAACACGATTGAAGTACCTCATTGCACGTAATTGATGAAATTCAATTTGATCGTTAACATTCAACGCATCGTAATATTTTATTGTTTAACAAAAGCGAAAAATTTTCTCATTAAGAAAATCCGCATATATACCTCATTATTATTGCCGAATCCACTTTAATCGTCGGTAACATTCAATTATAATACTTGCGTGATAAAATAATTTTACGTCAATCGCATGTGTCGTGCCAATTGCACGAATAAACTGCCACGTGTAAATATCACGCCTGAAATCACGATTTCTACTTCCGTCGAATGTGTCGGATTCAATCGAGGTTAAGGATCCTAGATAAATCGCGGTAAATTGTCGGTACCCTTGCTTTTTTCCCACCACTTTAACGTTTCACTCTCCGGAACAGCAGCCGTGCCGAGGCCATCTTTAAATCAACGCAGAAAAATCTCATTACTTTCTGTAAACTCACCGCGTTTTACAAAAGGAGGAATATTAAAAATATAAAGATGCATATATTATCTAGTAACTAAAATTTATTTTTATTCGAATAAAACTCGCGGTATCCAAATTAATTCTGATTTCCTTCATAAAATTTCAATATCTTTCTATGTCTAATTATGACAAAGTTACCGTCAAAAATACCTGTGGAATTGAAATCAGAATATCGGTTAAAATATTTTTCAATTCAACAGGCAGTTATATTATTTTGAAGCAGTAGCACGAGCTTTCATTTCTTCTTTGGAAATTGTTTAACATTTTTATAGTTTTTTTACCATTCCTTCCGGAACGAAAGGATGAAAAGAATTGAAGAATGAAAAAATTAAAATTTTACACAGAATACACATTTCTAAAGCTCCTAAATTAGAAGAAAAAAAAAAGATATATTTATTCACACCTAAATTACATAGGTATGTGTGATATGTACGAGAAAAACGTGAGGAAAAAGTAAATTTTACAGTAAATTTTAAATCTTGTTTTAAGTAAATGTATTTATAAATATATTTCTTGCTGCATTCGCAACTTATTTTCTTGCGTAACACGACGTTTAATGTTAAAGATTACTTGGCCATAAAGAAATAGAAAAAATAAAATAAATTATCTCGAAGGTTTAGAATAAAGCAATATCAATTATTATAACAAACGGCTTATTGTTAGACTCATGTTTAAACGTTACGCTCAAGTTAAAACCAATCACACAATTAAAATAATATGTAGAATCAATTATATTACTTGTGTTTGATACGATTAGATACGATTTATACACGTGTGCATACATTAACATATATATTTTAAATCGCTCTTTAGCCGTACAATTTAGATGTAGAATGCATGTCAGATTTTAAGATAGAAATCTACGTGTTTCTATAATTTCACAAATCATAAAGTGATCTTAAGTGAAAATTAAATTTATTTCTATATTTCCGTTTTATAAAAATAGTCCTTTTTAATTTTCAAATATAATAAAAAAATTGTATATCAAGTTCTTTTTTTTTATAGAAATGTAATTAATGGTCTCGAACGGAGAGTCGAAAATTCGCAATGGTGGGCGCCCGATAATGGTTTTGGAAAGTACGATACCGAGGAATTGAAGCAAGTCAGATGGCTAGAAAATGCTATAGAAATTTACGTGAAAGCTTTGAAAGCATTATGGTGAGCATTGCAAAATTTCTATTGATCGGCAGTAATCTTACGTATCAAATGCAACAATAAAAGTCGATTCAATAGCTTTGCAAGTCAAGCGTAATTAATCAAGTTACTAAACTGATGGACTTATAGCTAACTACATGCTGCATGATTAAACAATCGCAAACTAGTTGACTCTGCACAGTTAAATAATACATATATGTATAAGAAAAAAAAAGAAAATTTATTATATCATTTATAGTATATAAAAATTGCTTTTATAAATTTTAATAAAATCTCTTATATTGTATTAGTTCAATGTAAATTGATTTTTTAGATTAATTTAACTTGTTTTTCTTTTGTAAGAAGCTTGTTTTCCTTTTAGAAGAAGCAAAGAATCATTGGAATTAAAAAAAATTATAATTAAACATACATAAAATTAATCAACCTCAGTATAATCTTTCCTTGGGGACACAATAAATCTTCAATATATGTAACAATTTAATACTGTTATTATATGATTTATAGCGCAAGATTTAATCCATCGATTACATTGCAGCAAAAACAAAAAGTGCAAGAATCAAATAAATCCTTTGGACTGGAATCACATAGTGTCGAACATGTTAATGACGCGCAACGCGGAATCGGAAGCAGCACCGAAGTTTCTCAATCTATCTATGAAAAAAAAAACAAATAGTTTAGAGCGTCTGGGTGGCATGATCGTTCGTCAAAATAAAACGAAAGTTTACTGGGGTAATAGCAAAGCGAACGAAAAGGAAAAGAACATTACGGAGGAAACTAAGAAAAATCACGGAACATTAAAAAACAACGACAACATGTCGTACATGTTCAGAGAACTTCTGAAAGAAGAAAATGAACCGCGATCAGGATGCGCCACAGCTATGAAAGAGATTAAGATGTACGAAAAGGACAATAAGGCGACACAGATTTTAGTTTCGGGAATGGATGATAACGAATGGTGGACAATGGTAACGTCTTTTATACCTATACATATTAATTTGAATAATTTCCGAATTCGATTTAAAAAAATTGACTTTCTAAAACTTTATACAATCAAAATCATAAATCAAAGTCAATGCTTTTGCGGCAGATCATTATAATTAGATAAAGAAATTGTCAAAAAATTTCTTCTCGTATTCTTGATATAATTTCTATAAATTAACTATAATTTCTGAAAAATTATATTTCTTAAAATATCACAGTAATTAACACTCGCCTTTGCACATTACGAAAAGAATTACTGTTAGCGAAAGATAAGAAATTTTTTTGAAAAATTCAAAGCTTTCTTATTATAGATTATCTCTATTTACATATATTTATGAAAAGCCGGGAACGCAACCTAAGCTAGTTTCGACATTACTGCAGGTGTGCACGGTAAGCGGCGTGGGAATCGCAATGTTCCTGGTGGGAATTCTTGCTGTTTACGTTATCTATACGAACATACGAGGACCGAGGTGTGCCAAGAGTAAAAATAATTTTGACAGAGATACCAGTTTAAGGAGAATGAGCAGTGTGTGCGATAGGGAATTACCTACGACCATAACCACTCGTAACCAACGAGCGTTCCATACTCCACAAAGGAGAGGCAGCGACAGAAGCACTATATCTGAGAAAAGCGTTTGACGCGAACACGGGTCGCATAAATATAGTGAATAAAGCGAGCGCTTCTATAATAGCAGAAGATAGAAATTTGCTTTGAGATAATAAAACGTATGCAAAAATGCATTTGTTATCTTGTTTCTTTGTGAACATGTTTTCTAGTTATTACCATGACACACATCGATCTAATCAATTATAATAAAATATTCTTTATAATATATACAAAACGAGTTACGTATTTAAATTTATTGTATTTATTTACTACATTCGATATTTCGATGCAATGCGAATTCCCCGTAATTATTATTGTTCTATGTAACAATAAATATTATTTAACTGCATTTTCAAAAGCTGTATTTTATTTCAATAATGTATCAATAAACTAAATGATCTCTGTGAACCTAGCACCTCTGCCGAGTGGTGTACCAATAGTATTCGATAAAGAAGAACGATCTTCAAGACAGAAAATGAATTCTGCTTCTATATCAGGTGCTGCGAGATCAATTCGCAAAAAATGTAAAATAATTCGAACGCCAGAAATCCTGTTATAGAAGGAAATGATTTCCATCTTTTCCAAATAACGTCAGATAACAATAATTTTAGCAGCGAGTCAACGTCAAAGAATCACCATTCTTATCACATCTTTATATGATATAATTATTGTACAATTATTGCCAAATATATATTTTCGCGATAATTTACGAACAATATTCATCATTATTTTTAATATATATTATAATATTTGTTCGCAAAAAATATATTCTTCCATTATCAAAAGGTACTTGTCAAAAATCTTATAAATAGAATAATTTTTATTTTTATGAAAAAGTGATTACGAAGGAGTATATTTAACAGTAATAAAATACATGCACGTTATTGTAATATGTGCGGATACAAATAATTCCAAATGTTTGAGACAAATCGAATCCGATAACAGCAGAATTTCAATTTTATACTAAAATATCTGGTTACAATTTAACAATTTTCCATATCTCTATAATTTTGAGGATTGATATTCCACTAATATCGGGGTACCCATTCAACCTATCTCGAATTTTTTTAAATACTCGCACATATTTAATTAAAACAATTTATTTGTGATAAAATACTCAAAATAAAAAAAATACAAATGTTTTTCATAATTTTATCCAAGTCAATAAAAATTAAAATTTGTTAAATAAGATCTTACACTATGCGCATGTACTTTATTATAAAATAATATAAATTATTACTAAATTAATCATAATCTTAAAATGTCCTAGAATGGTGGAATGTCCAGTACCTAAAATCCTGGAATGACAGCATGTCTAGTACCTAGAAATAATTTCTTAAAAGAAATCAAAAGTTAAAAATAAAATAAAAATAAAATATACACATTCGTTATCACAATTTTAATTAAACATTAATCGACATAAAACATATTTTATTATCATTAACATGATAATACAAATACTAATAGAAGGACGTATAATAAAATAGAAAGAGAAGATAACCTTCTCACAAAATATACTATTTAATTAATATCGCGATTCGACTATAAAATGTGCATAGTAGTCGTTGCTAAAACCATTGTTTCCGGGAACTGCTGAGAAAACCCGAATTTAATTTCGACCCTATAAGGACTCAGACACAATAAGAAAAATAAGAAACAAGGAATTGAATATAAGAAATTAGGCAAAAGTCAGAGTAGGAAGAAAAATCTCATTGTTTGCCTCTAATTCCTAATATTTAATTTCCTATTTAATTTTCCTTATTCCTTTTATTGTGTCTGAGCTCTAACAAAAATTTCCAATTTTCAACAGAAAAGCACCAACTAGATTTCTCGAATAAATGTTACAGGTAACGATAAGGAATAGTTCTCCACATTGAAGATCATTCTCTCCACCAATATGAATCACACATTCTCTAGCTCCCTGACGCAAGAGACAACGATAAGATCTCCTCGCCGAGAGTGATCGCATAAGAAACGGGGAAAAACGCGATGTTGGAAATTGTCTTTAATAAATATTTAATGCGTCATCAAACTTAGGATATCCATTAGTAAATATTTAACATGTCGCAGAATACAAGATAACGTTTCACGGAAAGTGAGGTAAAATTATTTCGAGAATTCTCATTTCTACAATCAATGATAAATTTCCAATTGTGTAACATTTTCCTACCTACCCACGTTCCCACTTATTCGTACAATTTTCTATTCGTGTATTCTTATCCTCTCATATTTCTATCTAATAAACAAATCTGTAATTATAATTGCAAATACGGTATGTGTATACCTTGTATAACGTGATTACTTATCTTTCAGACGACTAATGTATCTTGCACTTAATATTCTGAGATACGCTAGACGCCTCAATAAATGCGTCAACAGTTTTATTTTAAACTTTATATGTATCCTTATGAATGCATTCTCATAATTACAATTTAAAAAAAAATCAATTTATCACTCACCAACTCGATGCGCAACAGCGGAGTTATCAGCTACGTAGTTAATTCTGTAACACATAAAAATAAATCAAAATTTAAAAAAGCGCTTAAAATGATTAATTATTCATAATACAAGTAAGATAATTCTATTATAAATCAAAATTTTTATTTATCTTTCAATTAAATATTCATTATAATAATTTAAACGCATTTATCAAAAAAAATGTTTAAGAATAACTTACAAAAAACTTTTATAAAAGTTTATATTACTTCTTTTTTCTAATTACTATTTTTAAATCATTGAAATAAAATCATTCAAATAAACGGAAAACGATTAATTTTATACAAGAAGGAAATAATACTCACCGCAAGGTTGCTCCACCGACGCCTGATGTCTCTCCCAGACCTCCTCCTCCTCTCAAGCTGTTCAGACTCCAGATTGTCAGATTCGATGGATTCCTTGGACACAACTCGCAAAAATTCGGATAGCTACGACGTCGCGCGATATTTGATACATCACTCCCGAAGTTAAAACACGAGTCCGAGTTATTCATCCGCAAAAAAATTGCAAGCGATAATCGCATTATCTCAACGTGTTCAAAAACGAATTAATTTGATTTGACCGAACAAAGATCCAACCTCGAGTGGTATGTAAAGTAACATCCGGTATAGAGAGAAAAAATTCTCGAAAAGTGGAGAATGTGAACTCAATCCACAACAGATCATTTTTACATCGGTACGACTAGTTGTGAATCCGCCTACTCACAACGAGATCAATGATCAAGTCCGATTACGCTCGTCGCTCGTGGCAGCGATCACGCTCGAGACAACCATTGCGGTTGAGAATAGAAAGAACACGTCATATACTAATTATTACAGTCGCGCGACACTTTGCACGGCACTCCCGGAATTAATACGCGACGCGACAAACCGACTGCGGTTCATTAATTGTTCAATTAAATCGACGACGATGAGAACTTTCTTCGTCATTAGGGTATTGAGTCCTTCAGGATACTGAGCTCTTCCTTCAAATTCGTATCTGCAAATAAATAGATAATACGATGCAATATATGCTTGTACGAGTATTCATCGCATCGATAAGTGTAAAAATCATTAATTATAAGAGGTAATCAGTCGAGATAGTAATTGCTTATCATTCGCAAAGAACGCGTTTCAAAAGATTCGTCGAAAGATCGTTATGTGTTTGGCGCATGAAACAGTTATGTTGTCTGCCGGCTCGACTCTGTTGTGCGCAGTAAAGGCCAAGACTTTTGTATAACGCATAAGACGTAAGGCATAAGAGAATCAACCAATCAGAGTATGAAATGAAGGACTCTGATTGATTGATTCTCTTATGCTTTATGTCTTGTGCGTTATGCAAAAGTCTGTGCTCCCGGCTTAACTCTTTGTATACAATAGCACACCGTGACGTAGATCAAGAACACGCTCCGACCGAACTGTTATCGTTTTGAAATGTCTGAATAATTTCACGGTTTATAAAGAAAATATACATTTTAAATTAATTATTAATAAATGATCATATCACGTCTTACTCAATTTAATAATTTGTTTATTATCTGCATTCACATCATACAAAATAACGAGCAATTAAAATTATATCGGCAAGATATTCAAATCGATGCAAGATATGATCAAATTGAAGCAATGCATATAAGAAATCATTATGCATAATTATGCAAAATGCATAATTATTGCATTTAAAAAATTATTATTCCCGATTGCCTATCATCCTGATTCTTGCCCCAAGAATCCCGCAATACATTCGCTCCGGTGAATAGTCGATACGATACGTTTAAGGATGTTTAATACGTACAATAGTAGCAAAAAGTTAAAGGACTGATTTTTACGAATATGCTCTTCTCATATAGTTTAAGTAATAAGGATTGTGCAGAATGTTATCATTTATTCAGAAGATCGGAAGAGCACACGT